CTCCTAAAGATGATAAACAGAGCGTCGGATGCAGTGAATAAGATGACCATTAAAATGAATGAATCAGATAATGTAAGAGGAGCTCAGTTCATGCAGTTCTAAGATGTAAATTCTCCCAGGTTGTTGCATTTGACTAGTGATTGACACCTCTGTGTGTGTGTGTGTCAGTGGTTCGAGAGTAAGCTGCAGGAAGTGGAGAATGAGGAGCAGCTGCTGAGGAGGCTCCATGCTGCTGTTGATTCATTAGTAAACCACAGGAAAGGTGAGAATGAAAGCTACACTGCGAAGCCAATCATCCAGATGCATACTGTTACAAAGCATCTCAAAGTCTTTGTCCTCTCGTAGAGTTGTGTAGTAACACAGCGGTGTTTAGTAAGAGTGTGGCCATGCTGGGCAGTGTGGAGGAGAACTCTGCATTGTCTCGTGCACTGTCACAGCTGGCGGAAGTGGAGGATAAGATGGAGCAGCTGCATCAGCAACAGGCCTTCAGCGATTTCTTCATCCTCGCTGAGCTCCTGGCCGACTACATCAGACTGCTGGGGGCCGTGAGGGTTAGAGAGCACAACCACATAATGCAAAACCAACAATCAGAGCCCACTGCATAAGTAATATGATGTTGTTTACTGTGTTCTTTGCTGTCCTCAGTGCTGTTTTGAGCAGAGGATGAAAGTGTGGCAGCGTCTACAGGAAGCTCAGAGCACATTGCAGAAGAAACGAGAGGCCGAGGCCAAACTGCTCTGGGCAAACAAACCTGAGAAGCTGCAGCAGGCTAAAGACGACATAAATGAGGTTAAATTATCAACAGCGAATGATAAACACAACACGGTACAAGTACTGTACGTTAGGCTAACATGTAACATTTTTGTAGGGGAGTTATGTTGAATGACATTATGAATGGTCACTAATTTGCTGTTAACATTGAGCTGTTTCCTGTGTCTCTGCACAGTGGGAGTCTAAAGTCAGTCAGTGTGAGAGAGATTTCGAAAGAGTTACCTGTACTGTGCGTAAAGAATTGCTCAGATTTGAGGTAAGTTACTGTATGTCAGTCACATGTTCATCATGAGGATGAATTTAATAATAGGAAATGTCCTGTTTTATTATTTCCTAATTTAAATATCCTATATAATAGTAGGTACACTGATGTGCTATGGTTCTAGTGGTTTTATGTTTAAATTTATGGGCTTATTTACATAGGGCAAACATTTGACTATTTGGTCAACTGCTAAAATTATTAGTTATACAAGCCATAGTTTATATAAATACATATATTTTTAAATTTTGTTGCATACCTGGTGCTGCCATAAATATGGCCTATTTCAAAAGCTTACGCAATTTTGTTCTATTTCTCTTTAACAGCTCTGACTCACTATAGTGGAGCGGTGACAATATATTTCTGTATTATTCTTGACAAAATATTTTAGTATCCAAATATAAAATGAAGCAAAGCACAACAGTTACCAGATGGTGCTTGGTGGGATTTACAAAATGACTTTTGGATTGATCCCTTTTCCTAAACTCGAGACAGGTGGATTGGGATGGCAGTTAAATTACCACACAACCACTGTTTGTTTTTACAGTAGGTAATTCAGCCAGGAATTTTCACACGGATAGTGGGAAGAAAAACAGTCATTCTGGATACGGATGGCAATAAAATCACCAACTTGCCCCTGTAAATGTTAAAAAATTACCTTAAAAAAAATCTACCAGCATTCATCTGAAATTCAATAGTTCCAAAAGCGGTGACCATTGGCAATAACATTTTACATCACAAAATATAAGATTACAATAGAATTGTTTTTCTGTGGCAGAAAGAGAAAGCCAGAGATTTCAAACAGCACATAGTGAAATACCTGGAGTCCCTGCTTCACACACAGCATAGGGTAAGTGTGTAAGTGTTTGTTTGTTTTACATACAACACCACTGAATAGTCTTTCATGAATTGCTATTTATCTTAAACCAGCTGGTGAAGTGTTGGGAGGCTTTCCTGCCTGAGGCCAAAGCCATCGCCTGATCAGAGCCTAACTTTTGACCTTGACAACAGACAATCAACATTTCTCTTTTCCTATTTCTTTTGCTCTCTGTGAAATTAATCAAATACCCTGTATATCTTAATATTTGTTCATTAATAAACCAGTCCCTATATTGTGATAGTAAACCTGTGCAGTGACCCGTGCCACTGTTGACAACTGAATGTTGAGTGTAAAGGTTAAAGGTCAGAGTGGGATTAAAAAAAGAACAGCGGTGTGTGGAGTGCAGCAAGAATATTTTTTTATGTGTGCACGTATGTGTGTTTAGTGTTATCCTTAAGGTTTTTAATGGTGCTAAGCCTATGTAGTGTTTTAGTAGAGACTTTAAACCGCCTTTAAGATTGTTGAGTGTCATTGTCTCTGTCATGGATGTGCACAGACTGAACATTTGAAGTTTGTAATCCATTCCCGATAATAGAGAAAAACACTTGAGATGTTAAGAGTACGATATAGAAAAAAAGAATGAATCACAGACTGTGAAAGGAAAATGTTTGGTGTCTTTTGAATGAAGTCCCATATATTGTGTTGATAGTTTTGACTGAATTGTAATGTTCTCAAACAGTTGCGCTGATCTGGACTGGTCCAGATAATAGTCTACTTGCAGTATAGGTGTACAAACATTTCTATTAAAAATTCTAGATGAATGATTGTTAAAACATACATTAATTACAAAAAAGAGGTTTAATTAATTTTAGGAGAATGTATAAAAACATTTGTACTTTGGATGCTTTTAGTCTTTAACATTTAAGCCCTGCTGGTGTATTCATGATATCACAATACCTTGCAGAAACTGGGGCCTCATTTATAAAATGCATTTACGATCAGATTTCATTCTATGTCAGAACAAATCAGTATTTACAAAAGCATAATTATGAACTTCCTGTGCTCATATACCAGTAATTAAACTCGATTAAGAACATGTAAAG